GCTGGGGCAGAACTCCCCCAGACAACCCCAGGTCCCCCTGGCTCGCAGGTTCCCCGTGTGTCTTCTCGCCCAGGTTGTCCACCCACTTCGCAGTCTTCCCTTTCTTAATCTCACCAGTACTTTGTTTGCTTCAGAGGTTTTCTTTTTACTTTCTGCAGTTCCTTTGCACTCAAACCAGCTTCTGGGTGTCACGTTACATTATACCCTGATGCCACGTCTCAAGGGTACACTTTGCCTGGCCATAGCAATTGAGACCAATTCCAGCAGCCTCCTCCTACTTGCTTTTTTTTACGGAGTTAGCAGTAGTCACTGGTCAGCTAGTTTCCCAAATGCTCCAAGATAGCATAGAGCCTTGGAGTGATTTCTTTGGTCTTTGGATGCCGTTCTTAAAATGTTGGGATTACACCATAGGATTGCCTCTCAGTTGACAGTGTGTGTGGTCTTGGATCTTTACACTATAAACTTTATATTAGTGTCTTTATTTAGTTAGTACAGGAGATATATTTTTGTATTGATTGTTTCTGAACTTGGGGCTAAGAATACTCGTATCTTCTCCTTTAAGACATCCATGAAATAGTTTCTGCTTCAAGGTTTATTCACTCTGACACAGGTGACAGAACTGTGACTGAGCACTGCCCTGAAAACAAAACACACCTCCACTTTTTAGTGCTGATGTGTCACTGCTGACCCAAGAATGTCAGGTAGCACTTGTCATTCCATAAGCTCCCCAGTGACTGTCAGATACATCCATTAAAGCAACTAGTAAATACCTTCTATTTTTGTGTGTAATTAAAGGATCATTTGCAGAAGGCTTTGATATGTTGATATATCATTTGAGATTGTCCAGTGACTGAAACAAAATGCTTCATTTCTAGAAAGTAATTGCTAAATAGAAAGCACACACCCGGTAAGGGCCATGTTCCTCAAATTAATGTGCCATTATCAGGTGTAGATTTCATTGAACTTAATGACCGAGTCATTATGTAGTTGAAACAGAGTGCAATTAGGCTCTTACTCAGTTCATTTATTATAAGCCTTCTGGGCTCATGTTATCAAGATAGCATTGCTCTGAATACACAGAGATGATGGGCATGATACTTAACACAGGTCTGCAGATCTTCTGTTTCTGTTTCTCTTTTGGAAATGATGATGAAATTGTCTGCACCTCTCCATTGACTGTCAGCTGTTCTGTATCTTTTCCGTCACAGTCCCACATCGCAAATTCAGAGTGTTAATCAACTACTGAAATTAGTTGTCTTCACTCTGTTTTACAGAGCCACAAGCAACAAATCTAGTCTACTGGGAAAGAGGTCAGGATAGAGGGTTGGAGTTGCTGCTCAGTTGGTAGGGTGCTTTCCCACCATGTGCCAAGCCCTGGGTTCAATCCCCAGCACCCCATTAACCAGGAGTAGTAGTTTACACTTGTAATCCCAGTACTGATTATACTGGGAGGTGGAGGCAAGAAGATCAGAAGTTCAAGGTCAACCTTGGCTGAGTTTAACTTCAGTTTGGGCTAAAGATATGATGTAGGTGTGTGTGTGGGGGTGTATGTCTAATGTACCCCAATGTAAGTGTGTGACTAAAGTATTTTACTGTTTTAGTCATGATTTGATCTGTCTACTGACTTTGACACTCACTGGTATGGATGGCATGGAAATCCATTGCTTTTGTGGTTACTATAAATTTTAATCTTATTCTATTGATGCTGTTCATTTTTCTCCCTTTTCATTTCTTCTTGCAATCGATCATTTGAAACCAGAAAAGTGAAGAAATTTAGGATTCAGTTTGAACACAGCCAATTGCATTCAGCCCTAATTATGATCACGTAGAGGGAATTTCTCTTTTATAAGTCGTACATCCTTTTGTACTGTCAGTACATCCTAAGGTTCATAAGGGCAATAAATGATAATAATCTTTAACGGTTCACAACCCTCAAAGCTCTCACCTTTACTCTCCTATTTGAGCTGTAGTAGGCAGCCAGGCATCTCCTGTGTAGATGGAACAAGAACTACAGACAGACAAAGGCTCTTGGACATTTACTCAAATCTTCTGTTTGTCTGGCCAGGGCTTTTTCCATAATGTTCTACCCCACCCTTTGAGTGTTTGAACCAGTGAGTACACTAAAGTATCTCAGCTTTCTTTTCCTACCTAAAAGTGGTGTCGTTTCAGTTGTTTTATTTCCTATTGTGAATATCAGAATGTTTACAATCAGAGAAAGTATGTTAGAATTGTTCAAATTTGAGCCTTTTAGTTAGCCAATAGTAAGAGGATGGAAGGATTTATAAGCATACTTTGTTTTATTGTCCCAGTTTATTGAATTTTGCAGAGACTGATTTTTTTTACAGACTGAAAGTTTGTTCAGAAGTCTGTCGGTGCTGCGTTTCCAGCTTCACCGGGTGATCTTTAGCGGTTTCAATCAATGACGGTTTTGTTTTCTGTCTCAGGCCCATGTGTGATAAGACAAGTGCTTTTTCAAAATTGATCTGTATGCCAACTTCTAATGTTTTAAAATTAAAGCCTGCTCATTGTTATTTTAGATATGATATGTTATACACTCAGTATATAATATAAATGTAACTTTTAGATGCACTGGAAAACCCCCAAAATGGTGTGCCTTGTGTTGCTGTGATGGTTTGAAACTGAACCAGCAATATCTCTGGGCTATACCTATATATAATTCATACTCATTGCATACTAGTGACCTGCTGAAGATCTGACAGTCATATAAGTGGCTGGATTGGGACTTGAGCCAGCTACTCTTTTGAGGATCACTTGTTTTCTCTAGAGTCCACTATAGTTAGAGAACTACTTATTAAATTAAAAGTTAGTTGGCCCTCTTCCTGGGGAAATGTATATCTGCAGGATACTTTGTATATGATTTTGTAATGTTTAGAGAAGTTGCCAGGCCTGCCCCTTTCATTTTACAGATGAACATATATGATGAATCAGAGTACAGAAATGATTTGTTCAAAGTCACAGCTGAACTTGATTCCTAGTGGTTGGTTCTAACAATTTTTTCCTAACATTGTAAATATATAGAGAGAGTTTGTAATATGCAACTGGTAGAACACATAGACTTTTAATATTGGACAAATTTGGGGGGTTATTACAATTAGATTATGAAAACCAAATAGTTTGTCTTTTTTATTAAAAATTTAAACAATATTTTCTGATCACTGGTTCCCCTCCTCACCTCCTCACCCATCCAACTCTATGCCTTCTCTCTCTTTAGAAAACATACAAATAAAAAAAAAACCAGAATTTTTTAAAAAAAAAAAAACAGAAAAAAAACGAACACCAGAAACGTACACACAGAAACAAAACCCATAAAAATACAAAATTGGAAACCATAATATAAAGGTCTTGATCTCCTTCGTCGGTCTCTGGAATTTTTAATATGTAATACATGGGTGTAGGCTTGCAGGTGCAATTCTCTGTTCAAAAGACAGAAGAGATATTACTTTAACATTTCAAAGTCATAGCTATCAGCATGAAGCTATCTCTAACACAATTCTTAGATACAATAAGAAGGTAAAATTGGATCTTTGTAGTTCCATGTAGCAGTTAATGTTATGTGTTGAATTCTGCATAATTATAACTTAGAGCCTTTCTTTTCTGGTTTCTACCATAGATGCCATTCCAAGTTCAGATCAAATTCGAATAGCACCATCATTAAAAAGCCAGAGAGGTTCAGTGTGGACAAAAACAAAAGCAGCCTTTGAGAACTGGGAAGTAGAAGTAACATTTCGAGTGACTGGAAGAGGTCGAATTGGAGCTGATGGCCTAGTATGATCATTTCTGTTGCTTAAACCAGTATGGTTGCATAAGCCACTGGTCCCTAACTAGTCCCTCTTATGTATTTTCAGGCAATTTGGTATACAGAAAATCAAGGCTTGGACGGCCCTGTGTTTGGATCAGCTGATATGTGGAATGGTGTTGGAATATTTTTTGATTCTTTTGACAATGATGGAAAGGTATATTTATTGTTAAAATTGTTAGCCATTTTCCCTTTTAATGTATTTTTAGCAGTTAGACTATGAGAAGGTAGCTTACTTCACACCTTAAACTTCATAAAGAACTTGGTTGATAGCCTATGCATGGTCATTAGTCTTGGTAGCAGAGAATCTCGAACTGAAAGCTATGCAGTTGTGATATTTTGCATGCTGATTTACAGTCAAGATGAAGACCTAGCTCTGAGAAGCTGTCTGTGATTCACACCCTGTATGTGCTTAGTGACTGAAATCATCAGCGTTTGTCTCAGATTTGGGCAGTGAAGCCAGGAGAGCTTAGGAAGCCATGGTGGTATTCAGTGCAGGGCTTGACTGGCCCTTGTACTCAACTCTCCTGTGTTAATTACTTTTTGGTCAGGCTGTTTTCCTGATGATATCTTAAAAATAAAATGACTTAGATGCTGAAACAGTGACTCGTGGCTTGGACACTTGGAGACTGATGGTCTTCCCTTTGGCTAGTTGTTACTGATTTCAGAGGACACTGTCAGCAATTTAAAGAAATCTTAATGACATTGAAGAAGCTTGGCCCATACTATTTTTAAAATTTAAGATCCCTAGAATCTTAGCAGTATGAAATTTTCATAGCAAAAAAAAAGAATGAAGTTTTCTATGAAAGATACTAAATAAATTCATTCTCTTTATTTTTAGAAAAATAATCCTGCTATAGTAATTATAGGCAACAATGGACAAATTAATTATGACCATCAGAAGTAAGTGTGATTTTGCACTATTTCTTATTTCACCTTTTCTTTGGAAACCCCATGAAATATATTGCTTCAAATCTTAACACTCCAAATGAATTAAGATTTTTTTCCTTGGGTTATAGTGTAACTCAATGAATGGGTCTAATTTCCGTTTGTGTCGTCAAGTCTTTCTGTGAGCCACACTTTACATGTTTATTCAAAGAGATATTTAGCTTTCACCAAACTAAAGAGTCCACAGTTTTCAACATTAATGTCACTGGCAGGGTGTTTCAGAGCTTCCAGGTGTTGGGTATAAGAAAATTGCTTACCCATGCCTTGCTTGACTTTTTCCTACATTGCTGACTACAGTGCTGGTAGTTTTCTACAGTCCCAAGTGTGCTGGTTTAAAATAGAAATGCCTAGGCAGGTTCCTTTAGATTTAGCTTCCTCTGGCTTGGATGGAGTTGACAAACTTACATCTTTAAAAACTCCATGAAGGGCTGGGGATGTAGTTCAGTCGTAGAGCACTTGCCTAGTGTGTGTGAGACTCTAGGTCCAACACCACAAAAAATAAAATAAAAATTAAATCCCACTGAGTGATTTGGATGTTGTCTTCTCTCATAATAGCATATCCTCTGTCCCTTCAGCACCCAGTGGTGTTAGGCTTCCCTTCCAGTGTCCCCAGAGTTCTGACAGGAGAGGCATTTCTGTATTCTGACTGACACAGGCAGTCATAAGTTTCACTAGAATTTGATATTTTTGAATCTTCCTGAATCTTCAATACTAAAAAGCCTTTTTTCTTTCTTTTCTTCTCCCTTGCATTACAGTGATGGTACCACTCAAGCTTTAGCAAGTTGTCAGAGGGACTTTCGTAATAAACCCTATCCTGTCCGAGCAAAGATTACCTATTACCAGAAAACACTGACAGTAAGTGGCAGTAACCATAAGCAATACTCTAGCATGACTTTTCTTTTGAATTTTGGAAAGAAGTTAATGTACTTAAACATGGGCATCCACACATCTATGTGAATGTAAGTATGTCCTCTGGTGTATGTGATTTCCTGTAGTGTAGCCTTGCCGGGAAGTTTCTGTTTGGTCAGAGGAGGTATAAGCACAAGCTCAAAGATAACATAAGCATACATCCAGTCTTCAGGATACAAGTAGGAGTAAGACAAAGGTCATTCTCCCTGAAGAGCTTATAGACTATAGAGTAACCATGTAGCATCACTGTGCTGTGTGAGGAGGGCTATGACACAGCAGTAAGGGATTTTGACCTTGGAACCTGGGCCCTGAGATGATCCTGGGGAAGGTCTAGAGGGGTTTAGTTGAGACGAACCTTGGAGCAGGAGTAGGGAATATGTGTGTTTTCCAGGCACAGAAAGCTGAACATTTGAGAGCAAATAGTTTGCTGTGGTGTGATGATCGAGAACATCTTGGAAGTCAGGTAGAAAGGCTGGCAGTACTTATTCTTGTGAGGAACTTTGAAAAGAGTTGGTGTTCTCAGCAGGAAGGGAAATGGTATTTGCAATTTTAACAAGTGACTTAGGCCCCAGAGCAAGTCTTAAAGTAATGTGATGGGAACTAGTTGAGATGATACAGGCTCCTAGACCCTTAAAACAACACGTCTGCTGCATTGTAATTTAAATGCAGCTTTTCATGCAGCTCTGTGAGATAGTCTCTCTATTTGCAACATGGAGAAATTGATTGTGAGAGATTTTAAGTAACTTGAAGAAACCCTGGTTTGAACAGCTCCATCTTATCTGCAGGGTTCCACTTACTGCCTGACCTGAGGTGATAGATGCCAAAAGGAGGTGAGAGGAGAGATGAGCAGCACTGTCACATTTGCTCACCTAGGATAATGCAGAGCATTTGTATTACTGCTGTGTGATCTATTCATAATCATGGCTCCCTAAGGCTTTGCAAGAGAGGAACTTACTTTCTTCACTGTAGAAAGTGTTAAATCATCAACATTTTCTCTTTTTGAGCCTTAGACAAATAATGGGTAAAAAAAAATTAAGTAAGTGATTTTACTGTGTAACGATGGTTAGTGAGTGAGTTTATTTCAAATTACCCTTTGTAAAATTGGGGAGATGGCTCAGTGGATAAAGAACTTGCGGTGCAACCCTGACAGCCAGAACTCTGATCCCCAGAACCCTTGTAAAAGCTGAGAAAGTGTGGTCATCTGGAATCCCAACACTCAAGAGGCAGTGCAAGATGGCTAGCTAGTCTAGGGAATCACTGAAATATGTGGTCAATTTAGGGACCCTGCCTCAATAAATAAAGGGGAAAGTGATTGAGGCAGATGGCCAGTGTCAACTTCAGGTCTCCATATATTCACACACATGCAAGCATGCGTACACAAACACACACAGTATCCATATACAAAAGGAGTTATAACAATAGAAGGAAGCAAGGATAAATATTATTAATCACAAAATGCTAAAATTTATTTTTAAATGTGTTTTGAGAATCTAAAGCTGTACTGTGTCTTCCTAGGTCATGATCAATAATGGCTTTACACCTGATAAAAATGATTATGAATTTTGTGCCAAAGTGGAAAATATGATTATCCCCACACAAGGGCATTTTGGGATATCTGCTGCAACAGGAGGTCTTGCAGGTAAATCTTGTCATCTTTTCATATTGAAAGCTTGTGAATGATTCTTACTGGCAATCATATGTTTACGGTATATAGACTAGATTCCATTTCACTTCTAAATCTCTTTGGAGTCTTCCCTGGTCTGTTCTACCAGTCTTTGGCTAGGTTGGAGCTGCATGGGTGTGTATAAATGACACCATTCTTTCAGGCACACTTTGTAGTGAAGGGGACATATTTAAAGTTGAGGATGTAAAAAGTTACTTCCCAAGTGTTTTGGGACCATTAAAAATTTCTTTATCATATACAAAAGACTTTGGAAACTCAAGGAAATATTATTTGGGGGC